ATATGTATATATATACATATATGTATATATATGCATATATATTTCTATATATATATATATATATATATATATAGTGATGATGATGATGATGATGATGATGTGTTGTCTGTGCTGCAGCTTCATGGAGTCATGAGGGTGGTGATGGAGCCCCTCCTGGGGGACATGCCTCTGGTTGGTGCCCTGTCCGTCTTCTTCCTCAAGAAACCAGTGAGTGTTTTTACCTTTGACCTCTAGAACCGATGAGTCAGGATGTGGACGAGTCAGGCCGTTCTGTTTCCCTGTTGATATGGGTAATAAGAACTGTTAACTACTAATAATCACTAACCTGTTGATATGGGTAATAAGAACTGTTAACTACTAATAATCACTAACCTGTTGATATGGGTAATAAGAACTGTTAACTACTAATAATCCTGTTGATATGGGTAATAAGAAACTAATAATCACTAACCTGTTGATATGGGTAATAAGAACTGTTAACTACTAATAATCACTAACCTGTTGATATGGGTAATAAGAACTGTTAACTACTAATAATCACTAACCTCATCATTTCCTCGTCGATGACTAAAGGTCAGGTTCTAACTGTCGGCCAATCACCTCCTTCTGAAGTGATCTTACCGCCAATCACCTCCTTCTGAAGTGATCTTTTGGACTAACCACGAGCTACTTCTCGGCGAGCATCAGTTGATGTGCTGTTCTGTGGTTAGCATTAGCATAAGGTTGTTTTAGCGGCGGTTATTTTGGCTCGAGTCTGGTTAAAATGATGAAGAATACCAGAGACGTGGTCGTCTTCAGGCTGACACAGCGGCGCAGCTGGACCACTCTGGTCCGTCTTCTGGTTCTTTTCCTGTTTGTGTTGGCCATCAAAGTCCAGAATCTTAAAGATACCGTTGTCATGGTGACAGGAAGGAAGAAGCCAATCAGGGTGAAAGAGACGAACCGATAAAAACAGTCTTTCTAACTCCCAGCCAACATTCTCTACTGATTTCTATCCCAACAAGGCCACATACCAGAGGACTGACCCAGCTGGGCTGGTCCTGGTGCCGCTCCGACTCCCGCAGGGCACACGTTGTTCAACATGGACTTCTGTCTGGGCTTGGTCTTCAGACCTGTTTCTCTGACCTGCAGTTTTGACAACTGAGCTGGTGACAGAGTCTGGAAACAGGATCTTCAGATTATTAACCAGATTCATGTGCACCACGTGTGTCCCCTTCAAAAAGGCTGGATAAAAATAGAAAAAATAGACATTAGCTCCACAGAAATGGAAATATTAGACACTTTTATCCTGAAATCAAAGAAGCTCAGACAGGTGTGTCTGGACTTTCAGGTCCTTCAGGTCACGGCGTCAGATTAAATCTGACATCTGATCTTACGTTTCCTGATCAGGGACACGTGGCGACAGTTTGGTGGACATTTGTCACGTCTTTGTTGTCTATGTTGTCCATGGCTTCATTCAGGTTCTGACGGTTCTGATCCCAGACTGGTTTCTGATCCACTCAAAAAAGCTGGTCCCTCAAAAAAAAAACTGAAACTAACCCTTTAATAGCCGTCATTTCCAGCAGTGTGTGGTCTAATCTGCTCTGACCCTGCAGTACCACAGTGTGACCCACGTGTACCACATAAAATCACACCTGTCATTAGGACACCTGCGGCCAGGAACGCCTCCACGAAGTCACCGGCGGCGGCGGGGGGGTCGGGGGGGCATGAGTAAAATCTTTACTGCTGGATGTGAATGTCACCAGACTTGTTGAGAGAATGTCAAACACGTGGGGCGTTCAGGAAACCTCCGGTACCGTAGGAGACATTCTACTGCATGAAGCTAGTTTTTTTTTTTCCTCCTTCTTTGATCGTGTACTAGAAAAATACAGAAAAACTAAAGAAACCGATCGGGTGCAAGGTGAGATATACCTCAGCAGTGCCACCTAATGGCTGCCCTGAAATACCACTGTATCTGGGTCCGCTGATTGTTTTATTGGATTGAATTGAGTCATAGCACCCCCTATTGGCTATGGCTAATTGGAGAAGGGAGAGAATCTTTGATTTGTCGTTTAACCAATTGTTTTTGTTTTATTTTTTTTTTTTCAGCTGCTGGACATCAACTGGACAGGACTCACCAACATGTTGGACATCCCAGGAGTCAAGTCAGTAAATCTCACTGGAATAACTCGTACTTTATACATATTTTCAATATGCAACGTTGACCTCAACGGCCAAGACGTGAGATAAAGTAGAACGTCGTGAAATGTAAACGTTGTTAGCCACGGCTAGGCTAACGGTCAGTATGTCATGTGATTCATGGGCCGACTGTCCTGCCTGCAGTCCAGACCTGTCCTCTGGTAAATTTGTCTTTGGAGAATCATGAAGACCAAACGGTGGGGGCCACTGAGGCTGAGGGAGCCTTAGATTTAGAACCACCTCACACAGAAAAAAACAAAAAAAAAAAAGTGACAAAAGTTTTATCACTCTGGTTCAACCAGTGTCTGCTCTGTCTCTGTCTCTGTCTCTCTGTCTCTGTCTCTGTCTCTCTGTCTCTGTCTCTCTGTCTCTGTCTCTCTGGCTCTGTCTCTCTGTCTCTGTCTCTCTGTCTCTGTCTCTCTCTCTCTCTCTCTGGTGTGTTTGTTTTACTGCACCTCTGGTTTCTGTCCTGATGGTCAATGAGGACAAATCCTGGTTTCACCTTCATCTGGTGACAGCTCCTCCCCCCTCCTCCCCCTTCGTCCTCCTCCCCCTTCGTCCTCGTCCTCCTCCTGCTCCTCCTGCTCAGACCTGCTGTTTGTACCAAGTCCAAACCAAAGAGACTCCGCCCTTTTGAAATGTAGCCTACCCCGTTTGACAAGTTCACTGTTCGCTCTCTGTCTGTGTGTGAGTGTGTGTGTGTGTGTGTGTGAGTGTGTGTGTGTGTGTGTGTGTCATGCTTCTGCTGTGATTGTGTCACTGACCTGCCCTGACCACACCCTCTCTCCTCTTCTTCCTCAGGGTGAGTGTGTTCTCAGGTTTCATCAGTGACAGTTTGCATGTCTGTGTGTGTGTGTGTGTGTGTGTGTGTGTGTGTGTGTGTGTGTCCTCATTCTTGTTTTTACTACAAAGTGAGGTCCATTATTAGGGTGATGTTGAGAGAATTGATAGGTGACTGTGATATCTGTCAGGTGTCAGACAGCACAGAGCCCTGCTGCTAGGTGGTGCTGTACACCTTTTCTGACCCAGACCTGAGGTAAATACAACAGAGTACGTGAACAGGTACACGAGTATTACAGTACATTCACAGGCAGATAATAACAACGGTACTATGGTACTGTTTGTACTTAAAACAAGACGTGACTCAGGACAGAAATCCATAAAAATTCCAGGGAGTGGAAACAAACCCAGACGTCTGGGAGTGAAGCGGTGCTGCTGCCCTCTAGAGGACATCCATGGAAGAAATGATTTCAAAGAGCCACACTTTGATTTTCTTTTGACATTTTGCGGTGTTATTCCCAGCCCCTTAAACTGCCCCCCCCCCAGATCCGGCCCCCCACGTGTCCTGACCCTGGGAATTATAAAGTGATAGAAGAATGTGTGAATGACTGTCGGTCAACGCTGTTCCTCCTTCGTCTCTGTGTCTCAGTGGCTTGTGTGACAACATCATCCAGGACATCATCTGCAGCTACCTGGTTCTACCCAACTCCATCAAGATCCCTCTGGTGGGAGAGGCCCAGCTGGCCCAGCTGCGCTTCCCAATACCAAAGGTGAGTAGGCTGCGGCCCAGACGTGGACCGGATGATGGATAGACCAGAATCTGTCCATGTGATACCATGTACTGTGATGTACTGTGATGTACTGTGATGTACTGTGATGTACTGTGATGTACTGTGATGTACTGTGATCCTCGTCTCAGACTCTGCTGCTGACACCGCTATTTAAAATGGGTTCCGTTTCATATTCAAGTATTTATTTGTTTAATTTTATTTAAACTGTTAACCACGAGTCTTAGTACCACCACCAGGGGGCGAGTTTGTATATATTCAGTGCAGCCGTCCACACTGTCCAATAACGTAGTGGTCCGTCCTCACCTTCAGGCCGTCCTGAGGATCCACTTCATCGAGGCCCAGGACCTGCTGAGCAAGGACAAGATGCTGGGCGGTCTGATCAAAGGGAAGTCGGACCCTTACGGGATCGTCCAGGTCGGGACGCAGGCCTTCAAGAGCAAGGTCATCCACGAGAGCGTCAACCCCAAATGGAACGAAGTGTACGAGGTCAGAGTCACTGCTAACTTTGGTCCAACGTTTTCTCCCTGAGGCTAGAACTGGACAGGAAGTGGTCTGGGACGAGAGCCAATCAGAGCTAGGTTTGAACGTCGGGAAAGGCGGGACATGCAAACAGAGATCCAATCACGGTGGTCGTGGGTCTGGAAGAAGAGTCAGGATGTGGAAAACTCTGGAAAACGGTGTCCTGTGATTGACACCTGGTTGTTTCTGGTTTGTTCCAGGCTCTGGTCCACGATCACTCTGGACCCAATGTGGGCATCGAACTGTTTGATGAAGATCCCGACAAAGACGACTTCCTGGGAAGGTACTGTTTATTCCTGGCGACGCTCCATGTTTTGACCTTTGACCTCGTTGACAGGGTGCTCTTGTTTCTCCTGTGTTTTTTTTTCAGCGTGGTGATAAACCTGGCTGAGCTCCAGAAGGAACAGAAGGTGGACGAGGTAACGACCGATAGCTAAGCCCCGCCCCCTCCCCCACTGATGAACACCATCTCTGGACTCGGTGGTCAGTGATGATGACTGTGTGTGTGTGTGTGTGTGTGTGTGTGTCTGCAGTGGTTTGTTCTGGAAGAAGTGGCCTCTGGGAAACTGCACCTCAGAGTGGAGTGGTTGTCTCTGATGTCCACACCTGAGACGCTGGACCAGGTACAAGAACTACTGAGTCACTACCGACCTTTGACCTCTCTGTTCCTCTGCTACTCGTGACCTCCTTCACCTCCTGCTCCTCCTCCCGTAGGTGCTGACCAACATCAAGGCCGATCGCGGTCAAGCCAACGACGGTCTGTCGTCTGCGCTGCTCGTCGTCTTCCTGGATTCGGCCAGAAACCTGCCGGTGAGTGCGTCTGCTCTGACGCCACGCCGCCGCAACACAAACACGAGTGGAGATCAGATACTTTATCAAAAGCTGTCGGTAAAACTTTGGTAGGTAAGAATCAAGGACTGAGGCCTCGAGCAAGTGTGCAGTCTGACCACTAGAGGTCACTGTTTATCAGTTACTCCTCCAAACCGGAGGCTGTCGCGGTTCATGGTGTCGATGGTTCGGTCCAAACCGGGAACCTCGGTTTAGCAAAGCGTCCACCTTTTAGTGCCCTCTGGTGGATGGCACTGTAACTGCCCAGATTGGTCGTACATGGTTTCATGGTTTTCAAACTTCCTGAGTCTGTGGTTCCACTTGGTCTTCTCAACTTCTCCTCTTTCTTCTCATTCCCTCTTGAAGAGCAAGGAAACGTAGGCTCTGGCTTCTTAAAGGAGCGGCGAGCTTCAGGCCTGGTGTTCTGTGAGAACACCGCCTCCCTCTATCGGACGCTGTTTGTGAGTTTCCAGGCAGTGTGTGTGTGTGTGTGTGTGGTTTGCTGAGACGGCATGAGTCCCCGCCTGATTGGTCCTGAAGGTTCAGAAACAAAAATGAATGTTTTTGTTCTGACGTTTGTATAAACAACACTGCTTCACGGCGTCGCCCACGTTCTCATACTCTGAGGGGCTGGGGGGAAGCTCAAAATGTGTGCTGTAGTCAGCCACCAGGGGGCGCTCCAGTGGCCTGGGCTTCACCTGTGTGTGTGTGTGTGTGAGCCGTAGTGTTGTTCATCCTGGTATTTATTTTTGAGGTTTTTCTCATCAGTTTTCACCCTTAACTCCTCGTCCCTCCTGTGCCACCAGGGGGCAACATGACCGTTTCTATTCACGTCCAAGAACCTTCACTGTTGTCAAAACATCCAATAATTCACTCCCGAGATTAGAATCTGGGAAAAGAAAGTCCTGTCGTAGCAGCTGGAAACTGAACTCCTGTTTCTGACCCACACCATCAGAGGTTGGACCAATCAGAACCTGTGATCAAACCATCGACTGGTCACAACAAAAAAAAGAAAATTCTGTTTTTGTAATTCGAAGAGAAAAACCCTCTCTTTCCCAGTCATCCATTCATACAGGGTTAATTCTTCAACCAGCCACCAGGGGGCACCTGTGGTGCAGTTACAGCCTCCTTGTTAACGTCTATTTCTTTCTCTAGTTTCTCAGTCCCTCGTCCAGACTAAAACTGTTGACCTCTGGGAGGGTAAACGACAGCCAATCACGTGCGTCCGTCAGCCACGGTCCTCGATCCCTGTGCGGTCGTTTCCAGGCAGATTTGCTCTCTGATGTTAATCATGTGATCATTGTTGTTCCTGTCCGTGTGTCTCTGTCATCATCCTGGTGTTTGCTCTAACCTCACCCTC